TAAGACATTAATGAAAGAAATTGAAGACGACACACACACACACAAAAAGGAAAAATCAACTATGCTTGTGGATTGGAAAAATTAATATTGTTAAAATGTCCATGCTGGGGCACCTGGGTGGCTCAGTCATTAAGTGTCTGCCTTTGGCTCAGGTCATGATCCCAGGGTCCTGGGATCGATCCCGGCATCGGGCTCCCTGCTCAGCAGGAAGCCTGCTTCTCCGTTGCCCACTCCCCCTGCTTGTGTTCCCTCTCTCGTCAGGTAAATAAATAAAATCTTAAAAAAAAAAATGTCCATGCCACCCAGGGCACCTGGGTGGCTTGGTCGGTTAAGCATCTGATTCATGATCTTAACTCAGGTCTTGGTCTCAGGGTTGTGAGTTCAAGCCCCGCACTGGGCTCCATGCTGGGTGTGGAGCCTCTTTAAAAAAAAAAAAAAAAAAAAAATTGTCCACACTACCCAAAGCAACCTACAGATTCAATGCAATTGCTGTCAAAATATTAATGGCATTTGTCCCAGAATTAGAATAATCCTATATTTATAAGAAACCACAGAAGACCATGAATAGCCAAAGCAATCTTGAAAAAGAACAAAACTGGAATCCTGCTCCCAGATTTCAAAGTACACTACAAAGCTGTAGTAATCAATATAGTTTGGTACTGGGACAAAAACAGACACATAGATCAATGGAACAAAACAATGAGCCCAGAAATAAACCCCACACTTATGTGGTCATCTAATCTATGACAAAGGAGGCAGGAATCTACAGTGGGGAAAGGACAGTCTACAAGAAATGGCCCTGGGAGAACTGGACACAGAAGAATGCCACACACAAGAATGAACTCTAAGTGGATTAAAGACTCAACTATAACACCCGAAACCATAAAAATCCTAGAAGAAAACATAGGCAGTAAGCTCTCTGATATTGGTTTGAGCAGTATTTTTTTGATCTGTCTCCTCAGGCAAGGGCAACAAAAGCAAAAATAATCAAATGGGACTACATCAAACTAAAAAGCTTTTGCACAGCAAAGTAAACTAACAACAAAACCAAAAAAAAGCAATGTACTGAGAGAAGCTATTTGCAAATAATATATCAGATAAGAGATTAACATACAAAATATATAAAGAACTCATACAATACAGTATTAAAAAAACCATCCAATTTTTATTTTATTTTTTTTTAAGATTTTATTTATTTGACGGAGAGAGACACAGCGAGAGAGGGAACACAAGCAGGGGAAGTGGTGGAGGGAGAAGCAGGCTTCCCGAAGAGCAGGGAGCCCAATGCGGGGCTCGATCCCAGGACCCTGGGACCATGACCCGAGCCGAAGGCAGACGCTTAACGACTGAGCCACTCAGGCGCCCCCCAAAAAAAAGCATCCAATTTTTTAAAATGGGCAGAAAACCTGAATAGACAGCTTTCCAAGAAGACATACAGACAGCCAACAGTTACATGGAAAGATGCTCAACATCCCTCCGCATCAGGGAAATGCCGATCCAAACCACAATGAGATACCACCTCACACCTGTCAGAATGGCTAAAATCAACAACCTAGGAAGCAACAGATGTTGGTGGGGATGCGGAGAAAGAGGAACCCTCCTACACTGCTGGTGGGAATGCAAGCTGGTGCTGCCATTCAGGAAAACAGTATCGAGTGTCCTCAAAAAGTTAAAAGTAGAGCTACCCTACGTCCCAGCAATCGCACTACTAGGTATTTATCTGAAGAAAATGAAAATAGTCATTTGAAAAGACATTTGCTCCCCCGTGTTTACTACAGCATTGTTTACAATAGTCAAGATATGGAAGCAGCCCAAGTGTCCATTGATAGATACATGGATACACAAGATCCCTTCCTCCTTCCTTCCTTCTCTCTCTCCCTCTCCCTCTCTCACACTCACACACACACACAGACACACACACAGGAATAGTACTCAGCAATAAAAAAGAATAAAACCTTGTCATTTGCAGCAACATGCATGGACCTAGAGGGTATTATGCTAAGTGAAATAAGTCGGAGAAAAAACAAATACTGTATGGCTTCACTTCTATGTGGAACCTAAAAAGCAAAGCAAACAAAACAGAAGTAGGCTCACAGATACAGAGGACAAGCTGGTGGTTGCCAGAAGGGAGGGGGCGATGGGTGACCTAGGTGAGGGGATGAAGATGTACAGTCTTCCAGTTGTAAAATAAATAAGACGGGCATTGTAGCGAGCAGCACAGGAAAGACAGTTGATGGCACGGCCACAACTTTGGATGGTGACTGATGATAACTAGACCTATCACGGTGACCGTTTCATGGATCGCTTCAGCCCAACAGGCTGAGCTAGATGCTCTCACTTGGGCTTGTATCTTAGCCAAGGGCCAAACCACAAACATCTATACCAACCGTCAGCATGCTCTGGGGTAGCCCAGGACTTTGGGATGTTAGGGAAACAGCAAGGTTGCCTTACCTCTAATGGGAATAAAATTTAAAATGGCTCTTGTGCCCCAAAAGTATTAGATGCCATACTTTTGTCAGCTGCTCTATGATTAAGGTCTCAGGCATTTCAGACTTGACTCCCTGGAGGCAAAGGGAACCACCTCGTTGATATTTCTACCAAGAACGCTGCTCTCAAAGAAACCAACAACCAAACCTCTGTCGTGGTCCAAAGGGGTGCTCCCCCAAATGACAATCTAGAAAAATCAACAAGAGAGGCCCACCAACTGGCCCCAGAGAAGGAAAACCAATATTGGAAATATAATTGTTCAATAAAAAGAGAGAACTCTGGCTGAGACCAAATAACAATCCAGTCCTGCCTGAGACTCTAAAATTCCCATTACTGACCACTGGGCATGCATTCAGTCATTGGTCTGCTGATAAAATGATAGGCTTTATGAACTAATGCTGATAGGGAAATATCAGTAAGGCCACAGAACGTGGTCACCTTGCTTGTCCATACCGCTCTCAGGCATTTTTTTTTCAAGTTTTAATTTAAATTCTAGTTAGTTACCATGTATGGTAAAATTGGTTTCAGGAGTAGAATTTAGTGATTCATCACTTACAAACAACACCCAGTGCTCATCCCAACAAGTGCCCTCAATACCCATCCCCCATCTAGCCCATCACCCCCCCCCACCTCCCTCCATCAACCCTCAGTTTGTTTTCCATCGCTAAGTCTGGAGCATTTTAATTGCCCAGTGGATCATCTGAGGTTTGGCAAGTGGGTTTTATTCAGCTTCTCCCATCTCATGGATAGAATCTGATTTAGTCTTGGGTTGTATGTTTTCTCACTGGACTGAGGCTTTCCCTTGTAGACAGGCAATAGCAAAAGTCCTATTAGAAAATATCATTAAGGGGTACCTGGGCAGCTCAGTTGGTTGAGCGTCTGACTCTTGATTTCAGCTCAGGTCATGAACTCAGAGTCCTGGGATGGAGCCCCGCGTCTGAATCCACGCTCAGCAGGGAGTCTGTGTGGGATTCTCCCTCTCCCTCTGTCCCTCCACCCACCCCCCTCTAAAATAAATAAATCTTTAAAAAAGATCATCCCTACCTGGGGAAATCTCAAACTTTACAGGTCAGGTGACTCAGCAGGTCCATGCTGTTCGGCGGGCTGGAAAGCGCTTACACTCGACCTCCCACCCTCAGTCCTCACTCAGGGCTAGAACACACTAAGGCATTATTAAGACTCAACTGGCAAAATCTGTGAAGACCCTTCAACTATCCCAGCCCAAAGCACTGCCACTGGTCCTTCTAAATCTCAGATCCACCTGCGTTGGAACGCATAAACGCTGGCCCTTCGAGGTTAAGGGCACCCGGATGCACCTGGCTCCTGCTTGTCCTGATCCACAGCTGCTAGGAAATACTCCAACAGGGAAAAGACCTAATTCCTTCTACTGAGAACAACTGTGCTTCAGGAGAACAAGTTTTGTCACAGCATGCTCCCGTGAGGAGACGACCTCGAACATCACAACTTGCAACTAGACATTTCCGCTCCTCCAGGAAGTCTCTTCAGCCTTGTTGGAAGGGCCCCTATCCGGTGCTGTTTGCCAACGCTGCATAATCATGCTGAAGTGTGTACCCACTGGCCATCAGCCTTTGGCAGAAACAGGTGATGCCAGCCCAGTGCTTCCCGGTGATCTCCAACACGTTCAACCTCAACAAGACCCAGCCTTCAGAGGGGAAATGCCTGACGTCTTCCTCCAAACCTTCCTCTTTTTTCAAATGTGGCCTTACATGCTTCTTTTTCTTTTTAAGATTTTATTTATTTTTTGACAGAGAGAGACGCAGCGAGAGAGGGAACACAAGCAGAGGGAGTGGGAGAGGGAGAACAGGCCTCCCGTGGAAGCGGGGAGCCCGATCCCAGGACCCTGGGTTCACGACCTGAGCGGAAGGCAGACGCTTAACGACTGAGCCACCCAGGCGCCCCGCCTTACATGCTTCTTATTGCTAAGAAGAAACTTTCTTACTACTCCGATGTGGGACCCAACACCCAGGAAAGGTCTCTCCTGGCACGGAGGGACACAGATGACCCGCTAATAAACTATTTCTTAAAGGGGAAAGGGCAGAGGGAGAGAGAGTGAGCCGAAGCAGGCTCCATGCCCAGCATGCAGTCCCACATGGGGCTGGATCTCACAACCCTGAGATCATGACCTGAGCAGAAACCAAGAGTGGACGCCTAACCGACTGAGCCCCCCCAGGTGACCCTACTCTCGATCGGTGGTGCTTTTGAGGGAAGGTCTTCATCAAAAGAAGGAAATGTGAGCCGGAGTAAAGGATGCTGTGTTCGCAGAGCCCGCAGCCGGCCGGGCAGCTCTCCCACCTCACCCGCCTGTCCTCCATCCCACCGGAAGACGCCTCCTGTACCAGCAGCAGGAGTTTCTTCCGAGAACAGCCAGCCGGTGAGAAACCGGCAGCGCCCCGAATCCTCACTTTCCCCCCACGGACATTCATTCCCAGCCGCCTCTCCCGACTCCCTCCTTTTTCTCTATCACCCTGTCCCTCCTCTCGTTTGGTCTCCAGACTTGCCTGCCTGTGGTTTTGCCACAGTCTGACTATCCGGCCGCGCAAGTCCTCTGCCGTCCCAGAATAAACCCATCCTTCTTCTGAAATGACCGGCTGTTTTATTGGCAAGGCCGACAGCCATTTGGCATGATGTTGGGGGTGTCCCGGACAGCCAGCCTCACCAGGTGCCTCCCCCCCGTGCTCCGGTCGCCTCCCCTTGCACCAGGGGCAGCCCCCTCCTTGTTGTGGGTGCAGCTCTGCAGACAGCAATTTTCTGGTGGACCCATCCTATAGTAGTGCCCGGAGCTGCCCTTTGCGGGTGGCCAGAAGGGAGGACTCTGAGGACCACCGCCCACCAGTGGACGGACTGACGAGGGCGCTGGCCGGCTCTCCACGCTCAAGCATAGGCAAAGGGGTGGGGGCACAGGAGACAGCTGATGGCAGGTGCAGGAAACCTCTTTATTGGGCAAAGCCTATCCTTGGCCTGCAGGGAACAAGGAGTGTGGAGAAGGGCGCGGGGATCTCGTAAGGTCAGAAACGCGGACATTTCGCGGGGGCGGCGGAAGGCAGAAGCGACGGGGCTGCTCAGGCCTCCGCCTCCGCGAAAAGCGGGTTAATGAAGTAGCTGCGGCTGGCGCTGCTGTTTTCCACCTTCGGCGCGGGAGGCTGCGGGGTGCGTAGAATCAAGGGGCGGGGGCGCAGAGTCAAGGGGCGTCGGCGCCCAGCACCGCCGCGGGGAGGACCGACACCCCCACCCGCCCCCTCACCCGCTCCGCGCAGCCCGCCACGTCGAACACCGGGTTGGAGAAGCCCAGGGGCGCCACGACGGGCGCGGGGGCCGCTTCGTCGCGCCTACGCCACCTGGGGAACAAGGAAGCACGTGAGCCCTCAACGCGGCTCAGCACCCCACTCCTGGTACCTGACCCCCTGCCTCCGCGGACCCGCCCCCGCGACCTGAGCCTCCGCCCCCCGGCGGATCCGCCCGGCTGTCCTGGGCCCCCGCGGCCACGCCCCGAGTACCTGAGGCCCCGCCTCGCGTGATTGAGGCCCCGAGACCCGGCTGCCCCGGCCTCCGCTCCCCTGCAGATCCGCCTCTTGGTCCCGAGCCCCCAAAGCCCCACAGCCCCCGCGCCGTCCCCGCCGCCCCGCCCTGCGAACCTGAGGCCCCGCCCCTCCGCCTCGCATCCCTGAGGCCGCCCCCGCCGTCCCGAGGCCCCGACCCGCGGCCCTACCGCCTCCCGGAGCCCCCGACCCCGCAGCCCCGCCTGCGTACGTGGGCCTCGGAGCGCGGCGCAGAAGCAGCGCCCCCGCCACCAGCGTCAGCAGCAACAGGAGCAGCCCAGCCGTCACTGCGCCCGCCAGCTCCGCGCGCAACCCTGAAGCGTCCAGCCCCTCCGCCGAGCCGTCCCCGACGGGCGCGCCCGACTCCCGGGCGGTCGCCGACAGGACCCCAAGGGCTTCGCCTGCAACGGAGGGCGCCGGCTCAGTCTCCCCCACGCGGGGCGGAGCAGGGGCCGAGAAAAGCGCACCCGCCGTTACCGTGCTCGGCGACATCCGCCAGGAGGGCACGGGCCAGCCGGCCCGCCCCGCCCGTCTGGGGCCCGGTCTCTGCCAGCACCACCTGAATCTCCGTGTCCGCCTCCGCGCCTGCGGTCCCGCGCGGCCGGGGCGGGCGCGGCACCTTGGACACGGCCACTTGCAGCCCCTGGTGCTGGGGCTGCGGAGGGAGACAGGGTTGTCCCAGGGACTTCGCCCTCGGACCTGCGGGGCGTTGGCGGCAGGGACGAATGGTGGGCAGGTGCGCAGAGAGTGACCGCGTCAATGAGGCAAAGTGGGGCCCCGGGGTCCCTGCGGGGGAGGAGGTCCCGGGTGGGGGCGGGGGGGTGACAGGGCGAGGGTGGAGGGGCGCGGCCCCATTACCAGGAAGGCTTGCAGCAGCCGCGCCCGGTACCGCTCAATGTCAAAGGTGGGCCCGTGGGTCAGCGACACGATGGCTCCTGCGACAGGAGGGTAGGGGTCGGCGGCGCGGGCCCGGGACCATCAGGGAAACTGAGGCTGGGGGCAGCCAGGGTAGCTAGGCTCCCGTGCCGGGAGGGGGCGCTCACCGCAGAGGTCACAGCACTGCCCCTCGGGCCGGAGGGCGTCACGGCAGGCGGCCGGGGGGCAGCGACCGCCCAGCGGCTGGAGCAGGGCCGCGCAGATCCAGGGCTGCGCCTGGAGGAGGGAAGCGGCCGTCAGCGCGGAGACGGTGAGGGCCTGACCGCGGCGGCAGAGGGTCGGGCGCCAGGCCCCCACCCCGAGC